TAAAAAATATATTCAATAATTATATTTGCTAAATAAAGATTATATATACTATTATGATACAATGCTTTCAAATTGATATTAATATTATTATACTCTATCTCACATGCATGTTAACATGAACTCTTGACTATATTAAAAAAAATAATTATCGGACAATCTATTGATCAATATTGGAGCTTCTAAAATCAAAATTCCTGCGAGTCATGCTTTTTTGGTTGAATTACTTTCATTTGACAAAGTTTCAATTTGCATCATTCTTTGTATAAATGCGCAACTATTTGTAATCATACACTTTAAAATAATTGAGAACTTGCTACAAAAATAACTCGATAAACTTGATAGGGATTTGCGAATTTGATATATTATTATTTGTTTTGATGCTTCTTACTAGAGACATTTTCAAATAATCCAACTTGTTTTCTTGTATAACATTCCATTCATGATCAAACATACTGTTATGCAACTAACTGGATATAAGGCTTATCTAATGATCAATTGGCAATTATTGCTGGCCAATAGAAAATCGGACTTTCTGTAGTATACTTGCCCAAAACTGGACTTGGTAGGCATTTCAGAGAGGAGTAAATTTGACTAACATCAATGTTTTAGAAGCCTCTTGTCATCATTGACTCCACATCACCCATCTTAATGATTTTCAGAATAAGTTGTGAGGTTTTTGGGGAGTAAAGGCAGAAATTGATGAAATATTTATTATTACATATTAATTAACTTTTACAATAAATATTAAGAAATTAATAAATAAATTAACAATTATTCTTTTTCTAGATTACTTGGAAAGTATTTTCCTTCCATTCCGATTACACTGATCAATTGAGGATGAACTTCTACTTGAAATGGTTCAAATTTAAATGATTCACCGTCAATACTAATATAACCACTCTTATTTTTTGGTGTTAATCTAAAAGCCTCAATTTTATAATATTCAACCTGCAATTAACATACATAAGGCGTTTGTTTAAGGTTAACAACATTAATATATAAATCAAAACATTTATTTATTTTACCATAATTTTCAGTACACACCTCATTTTGATCAAAATGACTACCAGTTTGAGCATTAGAAAGAATATCAAGTGCCCTTTTCTTATTAACAGCATCTCGTTTGACAAGGGTTAAATCCAATAAACCATCACTAGGTAAAGCTGCAGGAAAACATAAAAATCCCTTGCCTACCCACGGAACTTTACCAGTATAAAACATAAACAAATCATCATTGATAATTTTCCAATCTTCAGGTATGTCATCATTTACACTTCCATATTTGTCAACTATTTTGTGATTAGTTGGTGTTGATATAGGCAATGATGATTTATAAGAGTTTTGAGCTTGAATTTGGGTTCTGAGGAAAAGGATACTGTGCAAAGAGAATACAGATTCTAACAGATTCAATTCCTATCCATATATATGATCAAAGCGATTTTATTCAAAACATTGCTATGATCCATGTCTTGATTGAAAAATACCTGCAAGTTATTTTATATATGGCAGACGGTCATCTGTGATGGTAAAAAGAGGTGTTTTGTTAAATAAGTGATGACTTTACAATCAATCACTTGTTGTTCATTGTTTATGAGAAAAAAGATATGGATAATATGATAATGAATAAAATTTTTGTCGGAAATTTTTCCTACTGTAAAAATTTTGTTGGAAAATCAAAGTACCTTTTTATACTCTGATCACGATTTTTAAAAAATTGAATCAAAAAATTTTGAAATGAGCGAAAGAAGACAAAAACACTTGAGACGAAAACAAGATCCTCCACTCAACGGCAATGTCGACCACCCAACCCCAATCTCAACAACAATATCAACCGTGAGTGTATAATTTTAATAATTATAACGATGATGACAACAGTGGTGATAATAATGATAACGGTGATGGTAATAATGCTGGTGATGATAGTAATCATAGCGGTGGTAGTAATAACAATAATAGCAATAGCAGTGATGGTGTAGATGTTAGTAATAATAATAACAATTGAACTTCCAACCCTATTTTTAACACTGCTGGTTCCGCATGATTTCCATAGTAATTATTATTACAAAAAATTAAAATTTTATTATTACCGCAACATATTTTTTATCAAAAAAAACTAACTGGTATGTAAAAAATGGGATAAATTTTACGAACATGCAACCGACATGCAATACATTCCTCATTCCTCATTACCATTACCATTATCATTACTCTAGAATTTCAATTTCTTCCACGGGCGAGGAAATTCGAACATGATAGTAGGCTTTGGACAAGCGAGAGGCTCTTTGACAACAATAAACTTCAAAGCCACACCTTCCCCCTGAAATTAAATTGCATCATATCATCAGGGCCATCAGGCCAGATTAATCTTTTTACATAAGGAATTAATTTTTAAATCTTTGAGCCCTGAAGTAATTTTTAGTATATGTATCTGTAAACTTCTAATAATCACATGTTGTTTAGAGCCATTTCAATAGTTATGTTGCTTTTCAAAATAAAAAAACATTACTTGTCTTTTTTGTTGTTATTTAATCCTTTCCTTGAATGTTGTTTCCATATTCATAATGATTATGCGATGTATTTGATGCTATTATTCGTAATAATACTAAGATCATGCAGGAATGAAACTTTTAAGGAACAAACTTTGAAAAATTCCACATAATACCTCGGCAAGTAAAAGTTGGCATGAGAAATTTTTTTTTTTTGTGCTCTAAATTTCCAATAAATTTGATATTGATAATACGATATTGTAGAATTTCTTCTACAGGAGGGCGAAGTTCCGACCAGGTTAGTAGTCTCTTTAACAACAATGCAATTTCAATAAACTTGAAGGCCACGTTATCTGCTAATCTGACTAGTAATAACCAATTTGTGAATCCAAACTGTCCAAAAAGCGGTTTCTCCATTATGTTGTTTTTTTTTGCCTTTATAGTTATTTATTATTATTATTTAATACTAACAATAATATACCAATCAATCATTTGTTTATTATTTACGATTATTACGATAAGAATCTTATGGAGGTGAACATATTTACCAATGTAATGTACAGGATATAATATTTATCAATAAGATGTTCAGGCTATTTATATACCTTCTTCAAAACCATATCAAATAATACCTCCAATCAAACTAAATATATTTATTAATAATGAACGCCTAGTTCTCTTCCTTGTCTTAAATCTAAAATGGAGTACCTTGCGAATCATTGTTGAAAATTCAATGTTGGGTCTCTAATTTTTCTAGCATTTTTTTCTTTTTGTTTTGTTATTTGAACTTTTTTAAGAATTATTAGCCATGGTGTAGGTAATGTATAAATTATTATGCAATTTATTAAATATAAAGTTCAAGTTTATTTTTAAAGTTAAAATTTTTGCGTTAATCAATCTTCTGCACGCATTTTAAAACAATATTTAGTTAGATATGGCAAGAGATTATTGGTGTGAATGTATGACTTGGAGACAAAAAGATACTTCTAGAAAAGATTCACAAAGCAACTTATTATTGCCACAAGATATCAGAAACAAGTAGTAGTGAAGAATCTTCTTTTATTTAATAAAAGAGAATTTAAAATTAATTTAGAACCTGATAAAGTTTTGATAATTGAATAATTGAACATCATCTCAACAAACTTAACAATCCAATATCTAGTGAATATGGAGGATTTTCTTTAAATTTGAAAAACAGAAGAGCAATGTTTTATCTTACATACTTGCCAGAAATAAAATAATATACCTCATATATTCAATGGACAAAGTCAGTTCAAAAAGATAAGTGTGTAATGTGTGGTTGGTATGGATTGTTGCTTTTTGTTCTATAGGAAACAAGTCTTACGTTTTAGACAAATAGATAATTCAATAATAATAATTATATTTTTTTGGGAATTTGTTTCTTGCATATTTATTTCCTATATACTTGCTGTAAATATTTTTACAAATGATTTTGTTTCTTGTATATTTTCCATATTTTCCTCTAAGAAATTTCTTATTTCCTGTAAATTTTTTTTTATTTTTTTTGCATTTTCTAAATTTCTTGTATTGCAAAAAAATCATAAAAGGTTTCTATAAACCTCCTGTAAATTTTTGCATATTAAATTGGATTCCAATAAAATTTCTATATATAATTTTTCTGTATATTTATTTTCATAGGGCAATTACTTGTAATGAGGGATAATGAGGAAAAAGAAGTTACTTCTATTGTCCAAGAATCATACATTTCTCAAGACATGCCTAAATCAACAAACGAAAACAACGAGACAATAACAGAAATTACTGCTTCTAATGAAATTTCAGGATATTCTTTAGAAGAAAGTTTATTGCATAGTAATGAAGAGTAAGTGGGTTAATTAATAGTAATAGTATAATTATAATAGTAATATTACATAATATACAAATATACATTATTTATTATAGTTATGAAATGATAATAAGAACAATTAATGTTCTAAAATTTCAATTGGGACTAGTAAAAAATGATATAGAGAAAATCAAATCATTGAAACAGAAAGCAATGCAAGACCCAATACAGTATGTTGAAGGCATTATGGCTGGGGTTTGTTTGAGTGATTAATTATTATTTATTTTTTGGAAGAAAAATTTTTTAATTAATTAATTAATAATATATGTAATAGGTATATGAAAAACTGCCAAAAATTCGTAATATATTAGAAGTTCCAAAAATTGATTGGTCAAAGTATCATACAAGTCCATCAGAATACAAACCAGGTAATTAGATATTGGTGACACATAAAATTGGACTGAAAATCTTTCTAATAAATAAGAGATAACAATTTATTTTATTTAAAAGATCCAGAGTTTACTCCAGTGGTATGAATTTTCAATAATATCTTTTCTAAAGAATTTAATTTATGTTAACTAATATTAAAAAGAAATATATTTTAGTCTAATAAGCTAACGTGCGAACCAATTGAATCTGTTGAATTTGTGCATCAATGTGCTGAAAAAGTGGGCTTAACAAGATACAATAAACGAGAACCTACAACTCTAAAAAAATCGCATGCCAAAAGAAGATCAACAGACGTCACTGATAATTATATCAAAGAACAACAGCAATCACCTTCACCTACAAGTCCTAGAACTAGAAGAAGATTATCAAAAAATAATGATTATATCTCCAGGTCCGCAGTTTGACAATATATTTTATTGCAATGTAAAAATTCAATATTATATTGCTATGCCTTATGATATCTAATTAATTAATATAATTTATACGTGCGCTTATTTGGTTACAATATGAATAAACATTACCTAAAATAGTGCAGCCTTTTATAATATTTACGGTAATATGATGGGTAGTTCCAACACCCCCAATAATAAATATAATATTATTAATAGTGATAATAGTAATAATTCATTAATAATAAATGGGAATAATAATAGTAATAATTACTATGGAAATCATGCGGAACCAGCAGTGTTAAAAATAGGGTTGGAAGTTCAATTGTTAT